GCAGCCCTGACCAATTGAAATGTAATGCGAGTCACGCATGTAATTAAAACGTTTCTGGCCACGTGCAAAGAACCACTGTACTTGGGTCACACCTGTAACCCCAGTAATTTGGGAGACTGAGGCAGGTAGCTAGTGACGTCATCAAATCCTGACATTTTCTTTGATGGAAGACTTTTGATTACTGATTCAATCTCCTTACTCATTTTTAGTCTGTTCTGATTTTCTATTTATGATTCAGTCTTGGTAGGTCATATGTTTCTAGGAGTTTAGCTGTTTTTCTAGGTTATCCAATCTATTGGCAGATAATTATTCCTAGGAATTTCTAATAATCTTTTGTATTTCTGTGGTATCAGAAGTAATATATTTTCTTTCATTTCTGATTCTATGTATTTGAGTCTTTTCTTAATTTAGATGAAGTTTTGTCAATATCATTTATGTTTCAAAATAACTCAGTTTTATTTTTTTCTAGTGTCTTTTAGTCTGTATTTAATGTAATTCTTCTCTGATCTTTGTTATTTACATCCTTCTACTAAGTTTGGTCTTGGTGTGTTCTTTTTTTCCATTCCATGAGGTGTACAGTTAGATTATTTATTTGAGATATTTCTTCCTTTTTAATGTAGGCATGTATTACTATTTTCTGTTAGAACTACTTTTGCTGCATCCCATTACTTTTGCATGTTTAATTTTCATTTTCGTTCATCTCAAAATATTTTTAAATTTCCCTTTTGATTTCTTTTTTGACTCCTTCATTGATGAGAATTGTGTTATTTAATTTCCACATATTTATACGTATTCTAATTTTCCTCTTGTGATTGACTTCTAGTTTTACACCATTAGGTTTGGGAAAGACGATTTTTATGATTTCAATCTTCTTAAATTGGTTAAGAGTTGTTTTGTGGCCTAAGCTGTTATTTATCCTGGAGAATATTTTATGTGTGACTGAGATAAATGTGTATTCTGCTGCTGCTGTATGTTATGTTCTGTGTATTTCTGTTGGTTTCATTTAGTGTAAAGTATGGTTTAAGTCCAATTTTTTCTTACTGATTTTTCTGTCTGGATGATATATCCGTTGTTGAAAGTGATGTGTGGCTATCCTTCATAATTATTGCATTATTCTATTTTTCCTTTCAGATCTCTTAATATTTGCTTCATCTATTCAGTTGCTCCTATTTTGGGTGCATCTATATTTACAGTTGTTATATCATCTTGAGAAATCATTCCTTTTATTATTATTTGACAGCCCTCTTTATCACTTGTTCTAGTTTTTGACTTAAAGTCTATTTTTTTTTCTGATACAATTACAGCTATGTTGGTTTCCATTTGCATGGAAAGTCTTCTCCCATTCCTTCATTTTCAGCCTATGTGTGTCCATATAGGTGAAGTGAGTCTTTTTAGGATAGTCATAAAATTGTATCTTATTTTATCAATTTAGACACTGAATGTTTTTGTTGTAGATTTTAGTCTATTTACTTTATTGATAGGTATTACGGCCATTTTGATAATTGTTTTCTGGATGTTTTGTGGATACTTTGTTCTTTTCTTCCTTTCTTGCTCTCTTCCTTTTTTAATTTATCATTTAATTCTTTTCTCTTTATCTTTTGTATATCTACTACAGATTTTTGCTTTGTAGTTACCATGAGGCTTATGTAAAACATTTTAGAGTTGTAACAAGCTATTTTAAGCTAATAATAACTTTACTGCAACCACATATAAAAACTACACTCCCCTTGAATAGTATGCTTCTGAGACCACAATTCATCTTTTTATTTATTAAGTTGTCATAGCTATAATTATTTTTAATACCTTTGTTTTCTAAGACAATATAATTTACCACTTCATGTGAGTTTTATACCTTCATATATTTTTATCTTACAAGTTACTGTCGTTTTCTTTCAACTCAGAGACCCCCCTTATCATTTTGTGTAAAACAGGTCTGGTGATGATGAACATCCTCAGCTTGTGTTCATCTGGGGAAGTCTTTATTTCCCTTCCATTTCTGGACACGTTTTGATGGGTCAAGAATTTTTGGTTGGCAGTTTATTTTTCTTTCAGCACTTTAAATATATTGTGCTACTTTTCCTTGGCCTACAAGGTTTCTGCTGATAAATCAACTGATAGTCTGAGGAAATTTCCTTATATATCATTGGCCTCTTTTCTCCTGGTGCTTTCAACATTCTCTGTTTAAGTTTTATATTTTTGTGTGTGTTTATAATCTTTGATTGGAGTTTGATTCTGTTTCTTGGTAAAGTATTCTTTGGACTGAGGCTTATTGGAAAAGTTTGAGCTTTATATGCCTAGATGCTCATATGTCTACCTACATTTGAGAATTCTTTAGCCATTATTTTTCTAAATAAGCATTCTAGCCCTTCCTGTCTTTCTCTTTATTTTACACCCATTAGGCAAAAGTTAGCTCTAATGATGGTGTCCATAAATCTCACAGTCTTCCTTCATTCATTTTCATTCATTTTGTCCTCTCCTCTGACTGGGTATGTTCAAATGATCTGTCTCTGAGTTCACAGATTCTTTTTGTTTGCTCGATCAAGTCTGCTACTAATGTTTTCTATTGCATTTTAAATTCCATTCACTGTTTTTTTTTCAGCTACAAAATTTTCTTTAGTTCTTTTTTATGATATCTATCTTTTTACTGAACTTCTAATTTTGTTTACATATTGATTTTTTGTTTTTATTGAATTGCCTCTCTGTGTTCTGTTGTAGCTCACTGAGCTTCCATTGAATAATTATTTTGAATTGTCAGGCAATTTGTCTATCTCCATTTCTTTGGAGGTGGTTAGTGAAATATTTTTGTGTTCTTTCTGTGGTGTCATGTTTCGTGATTTTTCATGATCCCTGAGTCCTGTGTTTTTATTAACATTTAAAGAAGTCATCTCCTCCAGCTTTTACTGACTGACTACAGGAGAGAAATACCTTCACCAAACAACTCAGGAATTTCAAGGCTCTTTCAGACTTTTTCTGTAGATGTGCCTGCTGTATACTTCTTGTTTTCTATGAAGGAGAATTCTTAATGTTGTATGCCTTCTCTTGAACATTCAAAGCTGGTGCTGATACCCTTCTGCTGTTTTGGGGGTGGCACCCTAAAATACTCAAGTTTGTGTGCTCTCTCCCAGTCATGCAGAGTGGGGATATCTGTCTGTACCAGTTGTTTGCAGTTTGCCACTCACAAAGGTGTTTCTGATGATCTGGCCTGTGTGAAAGAGTGAGGCACGTTGAGTATTTAAACTCTTGTGAACTCCTTCTAACTGCCCAACTCCTGTTGGCTACAGGAGAGAAATACCTTCAGCAAACATGCGAGTTCACAGGTGAGGCTTGCTAAGTGAATGATGGGAGGGCTTCTTTTTTTTTTTCCTTCTTTTTTATTGCATTTTAGGTTTTGGGGTACATGTGCAGAATGTGCAAAATAGTTGCATAGGTACACACATGGCTTCTTGATGGAGTGTTTAGTAGGTTCTGGAGCTTTACTTCTCTGCTCCCAACCTCTCTCAACCGCTTAACCATGGTGATTCCTTCAGTATTTCGGGTAAGATTAGAAAATGCGGGCCTCTTGGGCAATACCCCACATAGCTGAAGGTGCCAGGTACTCTCCCACTATGCTCTAACTTTCCCTTGCGGGAGAAACAGCAAACCAATAGGGTCTCTCTCTGTGCTTAGCTTTGCTTTCTTGGGGGTAGAAAACTCCTTTTCTACCATCTTGCTGACTTCACCTCTGTACATACCTTTCAGATGTTTTATTTAAACTTTAATGATAAATAGGTACAGAAAATAAATGTACAAAATGTATATGAGATTCATGTTCGGATGACATAAATTTAAAATATTTATTGGCTTCATGTATTACTTCAACAAATATTAACTGTAAAATTTGTTTCAGGCTTGAATCAGACATGCAGAATGCTGAGAATAAAGTGATTAAGACATGTATAATCCTTATCCTTGAGGAAACAAAATGCGTTTCTTTTAGCTAGGCAGATGAAATGAATAAAACCTGGGGCATGAGAGGAGTTATACTGAAGAGTTTAGCCTTTTCCCAAAGACTTGGGAAAGCAGATAGAGAATCTGATTGATGTAATTACATGTTTATATAGGAAATGTCACTCTGGTTTTACATAAAAATGAAGGGAGGGGAAAAAGAGTGAGAGTGAAGTGTTGAGATCAGAATGAAGTTGATACAGTCAAGGGTGGAATTTGATAGCTCTCAAATCAGGGCTCATGACTAAGAATTAAGAAAACCAGATGAATTTTAGAAATACTTATTACGTGAACTTGCCTGATTTGGTTAGTAGATGTAGCAAAGGTAAGAAAGAAAAAAAGAGATTTACAAAAAGCTTTATAGCAAATTAAATTAAGTGGGCACCCAAGTGAAACATTTAACCAACTATTTATATATAGTCTTGAAACATCTTAGAGATGGAAGCTTTCATTTGTCAGTCAGTTCATATATGTAGTATGATAATGAGTCAATTGATGTGTTGATTTAGTATTTATACTTTAAGAAATATGAGGCAATAGCTCATATTAAGAAATTTTTCTCAACCTTCATAGAAAAGGTTTTGAAACCTGGTATATTAGCTATTGCTTAAAACAACACAATTTATCATCTTATGTTTTCTGTGTCATGAGTCAAGGCGTAATTTAGTTAGTGTCTCATTTAAGGGTTTAACAAAGCTGCGATCAATATGTTAGCCAGAGTACTAGTCTCATCTAAGGCTCAACTGGAGGAGAATCTCCCAGTAAGCTCATGTGATTGTTGGCAAAATTCAGTCTTCTTGCAAGTTATCAGACTGAGGGTTCTGACTTTTTCACCAGCTGCTGGACAGAGGCCGCCATCAGCTGGTTGTCATGTAACCTTCTCCATATTCTAACTTACAACATGGCAACTGGCTTCTTCAAAGCCAGCAAGGGAAATGGTGTCTCCTAGGGAGAAAATTGTTGCAGTCTTACATGCCATAGTTACATATAGGATGTCACTTTTGCTGTGTTCTCAGGTTAGAAGAAAATCACAAGTCTGACCTATACTTAAAGGGAGAAGATTATGCAGGAGCAAAAGCACGAGATGGGAACCATGGGGCCTTGGGAGAGTCTGCCACGGAAAGAGAAGCACAAATCCTGTGAGTCTCTAGATTGTGTTTTTTCTATATATGCTCAAAGATTTAAGGATAAAATGATACCTAAACCAAAATAATAGTATATTATGAACATACCTTTCTTGTTTTAACCTGTCTTACATGTTTGCTTTCCAATATATCAAAGATTGTGTTTGTAAACCTCAAATAAGTAATTATCCGGATATACTTGACTCTCAGAAAATACATTTTTTCCCAAGGCAGTGATAATTATGCTTTGCAGCTCTGGAGATACTACTTTGAGCAAAGAAAATAGAAGCTTAGAAAAAAATATGCCTAAGTATCAGGGTGTCTTGTAATTCAGTTCAAATTCTTAGAGCTTCTTTCTATTCTAATATTCTTTGGTATGATCCCTGATAAGTATTCAGTGTATATGGTAACACAAACAGGCTTAAATTGGGGACAGCTTTAATACTGGCTGGTAAGAAATTTATAGATGAGATGAAAGAGCTATTCTGTAGTCATCTTTTCTCCTACATCTTACTGAGCAGAATGAGAGGAAAATAATAACTCCTAATCCACATCACTTAAGCAGTGCATATAGGCTTCATGTATTGTCGTTCATAAAATTTGTCTCTAACAACAACTATGTCAAAGCTACCAATATGGCAACCCATTTAGTGTTGTGTAATGCTTTTCATTCCTTAGTTCACTGTTGGCCATGTTCTTGCTTATCGAAGACCAAGTACAAAAGACAGTTTACTTGCATTTTTTCTTCTTTTCCCTTAGTTTTACATTGGTTGGGTAGAGGAAGCAACTCCCAAGTGTTTCTGTAATAATTTAGCTCAGAATTCTAAGTATATAAAAATGCAAAATCCTGCAATTCTGTCCAGTTGTTTATTTAATTTCACGTATATAAAATAATTTTTAAAACCTACAATGGTATGGCTAGCATGAGTACTACAAGATAAAGTAGGCATGATTGTTGCCATCAAGGTGCATACAATCTGTTTTCAAAATTATATCTGTAAAACAGTGCCTCATGTTCCAAGTGCTGTGAGACTAATAACAAAAGAGCAATGCTGAAACTACTGGCAACTTAGTATCAGGAATGGTATATGCTTTTTACATGAACTGTCTAATTTAAAATTAGTCCCAATTCTGTGAGGATCAGCTCATTTTATTAGTTTTTTTTTATTGTGGCTATTAAAAGTTAACACAAATTTAGTGACTTAAATCAACATACATTTATTATTTTACAGTTCTGTAGAACTGGGTCTAGCAAAGGTTTTACTGGGCTAAAATTGAGGTGTGGGCAGGCTGTGTTTCTCTCTAGAGGCCCTAGGAGTCAATCTCATTCTTTGCTCATTCAGGTTGTTGGCATAATTCAGTTATATGTGGTCGTAGGACTGAGGTCTTCATTTCCTTGCTTCTAGGAGCTATCCACATTCTATGACTCATGGCCTCTTTCTCCATCTTTAAAGCTACCTAGAGTTGGTCAAGTCCTTTTCATGTTGCATCTGATAAACTCATCTGCCTTGTTCTATTTTTAGAAAGCCATGTAATTAAACTGAGCCTACTTTAGTAATCAAAGATAATCTTCTCATCACAGGAAGATTTACTCTTGTCTACATAGTTCCTTTTGTTATGTGAGGCAATATAATCACAGAAAACTAGGGTGTGGACATCTTTGGTGCCCATTATCTGCCAACACAGTGATGATTGTAGCCATTTAAAAGAGAAAAGTCATTTCCAAAGCTGAAAAGGACACTATTTATACCCAGGGTATGTAATCTGTTTCAAGGTAATAATTAGATATCCGTAATGAGTAGAGTGGAAATACGGAAGTGGGACTCTATGTGGATGGGGATGCTTATATTCTTCAAAGTTTAGCAATCACCTTTTTATTTTTATTTACTTATTTATCTATTTATTGCAGTAAAAATACTAGAAACTGGACCAAAAGATCTTTTATCCCCAACTAAGGGAACAGGTTTATACATGGGTAGATAAACACTAGTCAAATTTCTCTGTTTATATGTTTCTCAAAATCTCTTCTATGGCCCATGCTATCATATTAATATATGTGTGCAATGACCTTTCACATATTCAGACTCATCCATACCTTAATATCATGCTTAAGTATAATAGCAGTAATGTAATCTAACTTCTGTATACAAATGTCCTGGAACTAACTGGTCTCTCAATGTTTTTTGTGGTTGTTTTTTTTTTTTTTTGGTCACCTGTTGACTTGTCCCTTAGATGCTCTTCCTTTTTCCTGCCCTTGCCCTTCCATTTATACCAGCTGAATTATATTCTTGCCAAGAACTGGTTATATTCCCTTCAAACTGTGTATGCTACTTGTAGTTGTTACATGTTTTCATTAAATACCAAAACTATGATTAAATGAGTCTAAAGCAGAGGAAGTTTGTGGTTCAATTTAAAATGAAATTAGAAGCTTCAGAGAGACTCTAAAGAGTAGATTTAAAATCTCATCAAATTAGGTATTGAAGAGATCACCGTAGAAGACCAGGAAAATATCTGGAGGAATTTAGCCCTCAGAACAATCCAAAAAATGTGTAATTTTTCACAAAGTTTGAAGTGATGTAGAACTGGGACTCTAAAAAGATGCTTTATGCATTGCTTGGTTCTCGAGAAAATTACAGAGAGATAATACTGGATCGCAGCCATGAAAGGCCTTAAATATTCTTCCAAACACTATTAGGGGGATAAGTATATATATTTATGAGTTTGAAGTTAAAATATTAAGTTGATATCATTATTATGATTCAGATTTTAGTTAAATTTGAATTGACATATATAATTTACATATTACAAAATCACTCTTTAAAGAATACAATTTAGTTACTTTTAATATATTTATTTATAAAGCTGTCAATTATTATTAGAAGAGCTTTCTACCCTTCTCCAGCTACTGGCAACCACAAATCTACTTTCTGTCTCAATGGGATTGTACATTCTTGGCATTTCATATAAATTGAATCATGCAATATGTAGCTTTTTGTGGCTGGCTTCTTTCACTTAGCATGTTGTCAAGGTTTGTGCATGTTCCTGCATGAATCAGTAATGTACTCCTTTTTATGGCTGAATAATATTTAACTTATGGATATAACAAATTTAATTTTTTCATCAGTTGAGAGACGTGAAATTTGTCACTTTTTGGCAATTATGAACAGTGCTGCGAGGAGTATTCATGTACAAGTGTTTGTCTGGACATCTATTTTCAGTTCTCTTAGGCGTATACTTAGGAGTAAAATTGCTGGATCATGTTGCAATTTTATATTTAATGTTCTAAAGCAATATCTGCTTTCCGAAGCAGTATTGTAGCATTTTACATTCTCACAGGCAATACATCAGGGATCTGATTTCTCTACATCCTTGCCAACACGTTTTATTTTCTGCCTTTTAAAAAAGCATGTGCAGAGCGGGCAGGTTTGTTAATTTTTTTTAAGTTCTAGGTATGCACATGCCATAGAGGTTTGCTGCACCCATCAATCCATCATCTACATTAGGTATTACTCCTAATGCTATCCCTCCCCTAGCTCCCCACCCCCGACAGACCCTGGTGTCTGATGTTCCCCTTCCTGTGTCCATGGGTTCTCAGTGTTCAACTCCCACTTATGAGTAAGAATATGTGGTGTTTGGTTTTCTGTTCCTGTTTTAGTTTGCTGAGAATGATGGCTTCCAGCTTCATCCATGTCTCTACAAGGACATGAACTCATCCTTTTTGATGGTGTTCCGTGGTGTATATGTGCCACATTTTCTTTATCCACTCTATCATTGATGGGCATTTGGGTTGGTTCCGAGTCTTTGCTCTAGTGAATAGCCACCTAGGAGAATGTCAAGTGGTATTTCATTGTGGTTTTAACTTGCATTCCACTAATACTACTGATTTTGAAGATTTTTAAATATTCTTATTAGTCACATATATGTCTTCTTTGAAGAAATGTCTATTGAAATACTTTGCCTCTCCTTGTTTTTGTGCCATTTTCAATGTTCTTTTTTATTTTATTTTATTTATTTTTTTAGATGGAGTCTCGCTCTATCCAGGCTGGAGTGCAGTGGTGCAATCTTGGCTCACTGAAACCTCCACCTCCTGGGTTCAAGCGGTTCTCCTGCCACAGCCTCCTGAGTAGCTGGAACTACAGGCACGTGCCAGCACTCCTGGCTAATTTTTTTTGTATTTTTTAATAGAAACAGGGTTTCACTTTGTTAGCCAGGATGGTTTTGATCTCCTGACCACTTGATCTGCTCATCTTGGCCTCCCAAAGTTCTGGGATTACAGGTGTGAACGACCATGCCTGGCCACAGGTTGCACATTTTAAAGTTAGGTACTTTGCTTTGTTATTGAGTTATAGTTGTCAGGATTATTAATCTATTCTTGATATTCCCAATTATGTAATGCATAGTCTATTCTTGATATGAAATCTAATGACATATAAATCTAACTTATAATGTAATTTAAAATCGATTCTTGATATTCCTACTTACGTAATTTTTACTGTCTTATTGAAGTTTAGACTTCTAAAATTTTGATAAAATCTAATTTTTTATTTTGTGATACATGTACTTATGCCTTTCAAATATCAGATTTTTAAAATGATTTGTGTTGTTCTATATAGACATCATTGCATTCATGAATGTTAGGATACTATTTAATTTTTTCTAGAAGTTGTATTTATAATTTACCTTTCAAAGTTTCAACTGCATATATTTTTACATAAGTTTGTGTGTGATATAGGATAAGAAACAAAGTTCTTGTATTTTTTGTTTGGACATCCAATTGTTTCTGTTGGATTTGTTTTAAAAAAAAAACATTTTCCCTATAGAATTATCTAGGCAACTTTGTTAAAAAATGGTTATTACACCCATGGGCATATTTGTAGACACTTTCTTTACTTTTTTTTTTTTTTTTTTTTTTTTTGAGATGGGGTGTTGCTCTGTTACCCAGCCATTCTGGAGTGCAATGGTGGCATCTCAGCTTACTGCCCCCTTGCAGGTTCAAATAATGAATTTTCCTTCCTCAGCCTTGCAAGTCGCTGGAACTACAGGTATGTGCCACTGCACATACTAATTTATGTATTTTTTGCTGTGTATGGGGTTTTGCTGTATTGGCCTGGCTGGTCTCGAACTGCTGATAACTTAGGTTATCCATCCTCTTCAGCCTCCCAAAGTGCTGGGATTATAGGCATAAGCCACCTCACCTGTCCTAGACACTATTTTTTTTCATTGACCTCTTTTTACATTTGTTTTACATCAGTGCTACACCATTTTGATTAATGTAGCTTTAATAAGGCTTGAAAGTAGACAGTGTGAATCCCTCCACTTTGTTCTTTTTGTGTACCCTGTGCTCTTCTGCGTCTTTTGAATGGCCATATAAATTTTAGAATTAGCTCATCTGTTTCACTTTAAATGTCTGTAGGATCTTTGCATGGGATTGCCTTGAATGTAAAGATTGGTTTAAAGAGAATTGAGGTCTTAACAATACTCAGCTTTCTGATTCTCAAGAACGTTGTATCTCTCCATTTATTT